GAGGTCTTCTCATATGGTTTGTAGGGAATTACATGTATTGAGTTCTACAAAGTCTTCTCATATGGTTTGAAGGGAATTACATGTATTGAGTTCTCTGAGGTCTTCTCATATGGTTTGTAGGGAATTACATGTATTGAGTTCTCTGCGGTTTTCTCATATGGTTTGTAGGGAATTACATGTATTGATTTCTCCGAGGTCTTCTCATATGGTTTGAATGGAATTACACGTATTGAGTTCTCTGAGGTCTTCTCATATGGTTTGCTTGGAATTACATGTATTAAGTTCTCCGAGATATTCTCATATGGTTTGCATGGAATTACATGTATTGAATTCTCCGAGGTATTCTCATATGGATTGTAGGGAATTACATGTATTGTGTTCTCGAGGTGTTCTCATATGGTTTGCATGGAATAACAAGTATTGAGTTCTCTGAGGTATTCTCATATGGCTTGCATGCAATTACATGTATTGAGTTCTCTGAGGTATTCTCATATGGTTTGCATGGAATTACATGTATTGAGTTCTCCGAGGTCTTCTCATATGGTTTGTAGGGAATTACATCTAATGTGTTCTCCGAGGTCTTCACATATGGTTTGTAGGGAATTACATGTATTATGATCTCCGAGATATTCTCATATGGTTTGCATGGAATTACATGTATTGAGTTTTCCGAGGTATTCTCATATGGTTTTTAGGGAATGACATGTATTGTGTTCTCCGAGGTATTCTCATATGGTTTGAAGTGAATTACATGTATTGAGTTCTCCGAGGTCTTCTCATGTGGTTTGTAGGGAATTACATGTGTTGAGTTCTCCGAGGTCTTTACATATGGTTTGTAGGCAATTACATGTATTGAGTTCTCGAGTTCTTCTCATATGGTTTGTAGGCAATTACATGTATTGAGTTCTCCAAGGTCTTCTCATATGTTTTGCATGGAATTACATGTATTGAGTTCTCCAAGGTCTTCTCATATGGTTTGTAGGGAATTACATCTAATGAGTTCTCCGAGGTCTTCACATATATTTTGTAGGGAATTACATGTATTGAGTTCTCTGATGTCTTCTCGTACGGTTTACATGGAATTACATGTATTGAGTTCTCCTTGGTGTCCTCCTATGGTTTGCATAGAATTACATGTATTGAGTTCTCCGAGGTCTTCTCAAAAGGTTTGTAGGGAATTACATGTATTGAGTTCTCCATGGTCTTCTCATATGGTTTGTAGGGAATTACATGTATTGAGTTCTCCAAAGTCTTCTCATATGGTTTGTAGGGAATTACACGTATTGGGTTCTCCTGGGTCTTCTCATATGGTTTGCAAGGAATTACATATAATGAGTTCTCCGAGGTTTTCTCATATTGTTTGAAGTGAATTACATGTATTGAGTTCTCCGAGGTCTTCTCATATGGTTTGTAGGAAATTACATGTATTGAGTTCTCCGAGGTTTTCTCATATTGTTTGAAGGGGATTACATGTATTGAGTTCTTCTAGGTCTTCTCATATGGTTTGTAGGGAATTACATGTATTGAGTTCTCTGAGGTCTTCTCATATGGTTTGAAGGGAATTACATGTATTGAGTTTGTAGGGAAATACATCTAATGAGTTCTCCGAGGTCTTCACATATTGTTGGTAGGGAATTACATCTATTGAGTTCTCCGAGGTCTTCTCGTACGGTTTGCATGGAATTACATATAATGAGTTCCCCGAGATCTTCTCATATGGTTTCCATGGAATTACATGCATTGAGTTCTCCGAGGTCTCTTTATATGGTTTGTTGGGAATTACATGTATTGAGTTCTCCAAAGTCTTCTCACATGGTTTGCATGGTATTACATGTATTGAGTTATCCAAGGTCTTCTCATATGGTTTGTAGGGAATTACATCTAATGAGTTCTCCGAGGTTTTAAAATATGGTTGGTAGGGAATTACATGTATTGAGTTCTCCGAGGTCTTCTCATATGGTGTGCATGGAATTACATGTATTGATTTCTCCAAGGTCTTTTCATATGGTATGCATGGAATTACATGTATTGAGTTCCCCGAGGTCTTTTCATATGGTATGCATGGAATTGCATGTATTGAGTTCTCCGAGGTCTCCTCATATGGTTTGTAGGGAATTACATGTATTGAGTTCTCCGAAGTCTTCTCATATGGTTTGCAGGGAATTACATGTATTGAGTTCTACGAAGTCTTCTTATATTGTTTGAAGGGGATTACATGTATTGAGTTCTTCTAGGTCTTCTCATATGGTTTGTAGGGAATTACATGTATTGAGTTCTCTGAGGTCTTCTCATATGGTTTGCAGGGAATTACATGTATTGAGTTCTCCGAGGTTTTCTCATATGGTTTGTAGGCAATTACATGTATTGAGTTCTCCGAGGTCTTGTCATATGGTTTGTATTCAATTACATGTATTGAGTTCTCCAAAGTCTTCTCACATGGTTTGCATGGAACTTACATGTATTGAGTTCTCCAAAGTCTTCTCATATGGTTTGTAGGGAATTACATGTAATGAGTTTTCCGAGGTCTTCTCATGTGGTTTGAAGGGAATTACATGTGTTGAGTTCTTCGAGGTCTTCTCATATGGTTTGAAGGGAATTACATGTATTGAGTTCTCCGAGGTCTTCTCATATGATTTGTAGGGAATTACATGTATTGAGTTCTCCGAGGTCTTCCCATATGGTTTGTAGGGAATTACATGTATTGAGTTCTCCGAGGTCTTCTCATATGGTTTGAAGGGAATTGCATGTATTGAGTTCTCCGAGGTCTTCTCATATGATTTGTAGGGAATTACATGTGTTGAGTTCTCTGCGGTCTTCTCATATGGTTTGTAGGGAATTACATGTATTGAGTTCTCCGAGGTCTTTACATATGGTTTGTAGGGAATTACATGTATTGAGTTCTTCGAGGTCTTCTCATATGGTTTGTAGGGAATTAAATGTATTGTGTTCTCCTAGGTCTTCTCATATGGTTTGTAAGGAATTACATGTATTGAGTTCTTCGATGTCATCTCATATGGTTTGAAGGGAATTACATGTATTGAGTTCTCTGAGGTCTTCTCATATGATTTGTAGGGAATTACATGTATTGAGTTCTTCGAGGTCTTCTCATATGGTTTGCATGGAATTACATGTATTGAGTTCTCCGAGGTCTTCTTGTATGGTTTGTAGGGAATTACATGTAATGAGTTCTCCGAGGTCTTCTCACATGGTTTGTAGGGAATTACATGTATTGAGTTCTCCGAGATATTCTCATATGGTTTGTATGGAATTACATGTATTTCAATCGCAGTGTTTCAAACTGTTGTATTAAGTATACTTTTTTATTCAGATTTAGGATAACCTAACGTTATATTTGAGGCGGTTTCGAATTGGTGGATTAATGCCTAATCCGTGATGATTCAAACTTATTTTGGTAAACAAGTATATTGAGTTTGCATGACGTGCGCCCTCTGTGCACAGACGACCAGCAGACGTAGGAGGGCGCAATTCATTTTAAAGGCCACAGTAAAATTGATTTCGGACTATTCACCCAATGCACAACTACTTTAATAAAAAATAAATGTAATTTTATCTTACTAGAAAGGTTCATAATAAATGGACTTTTGCAGAACGAGTAAATATACTTTCTGATCCAGACCTAGCCTGGAAACCAGCTTTTGAGTACACGAAGAAAGTACTTTTTTTTCAAAATGTCGTGATCATACACGGCATCTAGTCCGACCATTCAGCTTAGAACAACTCACTTTTTGTGAATTAACGTGGCAATGCAGAGCAAACATCTATGTTTTCAATTTTTCATCTTCATTGATGTACATAACCAAAAAAAGAAATGTAATATTTTCTTTACGGTGTCAATAAAGCACTAATTTATTCTATTTTTATTTTATAGTTTGGAGGTTTAATCCTTAATCGGATAAATAATACATACTCTGTGTCGGATCTCACCGAGATACACATAGTTCAGTAGAAACAACCAACTTACACATTTTTCAGAATAAAAAAAACCGCAATACTCTTCGTCACAAGTAAAAACAAACAAAACTAGTGACTGATATATATACTTTCTATGTGGGGTGGATAAAATTAATTACGAAAAGAGAAGTTCGGACAGCAACTTGAGTTGAATATGAAGAAGAAAGAAAACGCTCCCAACAAGATGGCAGAAGGGAAAACGCTTCCCCTCTTGCATACTGGCGATTCGCCAGGGCCAGTTTTCATTGATAGTGAAAATGGTCCAGCCTTAAAAATACAGAAACATGTTGTTTAAGTATGTCTTAGTAAGTATCCATTCCTTGTAATGTTAGAAAATAGGCCAAGGTTTTATTACAGCATATACCGCCGGGAAGGGGGGGGGGGGGTCATTACTTTCACACTCTCGCGAGAGACAAGTCAACGAGAATTGCAGGTATTAGAACAAGATGGCTGACTTCGATGCGATCTATGAAGAAGACGACGAAGAAAATGATGGCTTACTCGACGAAACTTTTATCAGTATGGTTCCAGATCCCATTATTGTAAGAGGAGCCGGTCATGTCACTGTGTAAGCATATGTATTACTCACAAGAATTCTCGTTTAAACGCCGAGCTTTGTCGTTGTTGACCCAGCTGTCTCGCGCACGAGTTGTGATCGAGTTGCCATTGCATTGTTTAGAGCTACACACTACAGTACAGTGATTTGTGAAATCGCGCCTATGTGTCACATAGCCGTTCTAGTTCTTGTATTTTGATTAAAAAAAAACAAAAAACGTTTCTCTCTTTTTCAATGAATTGATGCCTTAACAGCGATTACAACCACAAAATGTAAATGAAAGCTGTCTTTTTATTTCGAATGTCCTGGCCGGTGATGGTTTGTTTATATTTTGCTGGTGGGATTTTATTGACGTTTTGTCAAACTGAAAGAGTTTGGTTCAGTGTTTTTTTTTTTTTATTTTATCAATGACAGTTTTTATAGACTGGGAAATTAGCATTACACTTTCTTTTTCGAAAAGTATGCCACGTATCAAGGTCGCCGCCAAATCAAAACAGTTTCCGTTAAAAGGAAATGCCGGTTGGAGGGGGGGGCGCAAAGATCAGTTTTACGAGGAATAAAGCTCCGTTTACCAGAATTACTGTTTGCTTCCACATTTCACAGAAAAACATTCTGGAGAAGAAACTGGCCATACTCAAGTATATCTAAAACTAGTTTCTAAAAATGATTTTCTATCATTTCACTTGGAGATTCATTGATGTAATATTCTGTGTCCTTAGTAGTTCTGAGTTATAAAACGGCTCTTTCTCATAATCTCTAAATGCTCATACATAGTTACAAGGTAGGCTGATATGGAGACTATAGTGATACTTTTGATCAGTTTATTTACATGATATAATTTACTAATGGAATGGCCTTTTGTATCATCCTTGTGTAGTAAATTATCTCTGTTAAGGATGATTGCATTTACATGTAGGAGTGAGTTATCCACAACCAGCTACCAAAATTTATTTCGAGTTATAAATTAATAACCGTAAACCACATTCATGGGTGATCTGAAACAATTGTACAATAATACAAACCAGTTTAGCTAGAAATATTCTTACCAGAACTGGATAATTTCCAACTGGATATTTTTTCTGTTTGATCTTACACTTAGAGTGATTAGTATCCCAGTGTTGACAACAATAAAGACATTAGTATGATTGCAAGGATTGACACTGATTGATTCAATTTTTTTTTTTTTTATTAGGTTTGGTTTAAGTAATAAATTTGATACTGAATTTCCATCAGGACTTGCAGCAAAGGTAAGATATGATCCCCTTTCTGAATTTCATCTGATATTTCCAATTTAATTATTATTAGGTAACATTAAAGTATATTTGCTATTACTATTTTTTCTCCCACGTTGGAATGTCTCTCCAATATTTCCTATATTTCCCGCAATGTCTTCTTGCCCCATTCATGGCAATATCATATTTGCTTTATTGGTAGTGCATCAGGTATAAATAAAGGTTTGTATATTGCTAAAATTCTGGGATTATCCAATGGAATCATGGGATACAATTGTTCTAATGTCTATTGTTTCTCATTGTTTTTTCAATCCAGTGGGAAAATAACTGAATATTATTCTTACTCACAACCCTATGCTTTTAACGATCCAGTATACCATAAATTAATTTTTTTATAACAAATTTTTTTCCAGGTTGCGCCTGAAGAGTACAAAGCTACTTTAGGAAGACTTAATAGCGTTTTAAAAAAGACTTTACCTGTCAATGTAAAATGGTTATTATGTGGCTGCATATGCTGCTGTTGTACGCTAGGTTGTTCCTTGTGGCCTGTTATATGTCTTAGTAAAAGGGTAAGACAGTTTACCTAATTGTCATTTTTATTTTGTTTCTGTCTATGCTAGCATTATGATTAATTTGCATAATAATGCATCTAATTTGCATATTTCTATTTCTATAATAGTCGGTTTCTCAAACAAACTGTCACTGTGTCTTTTCAACTAGGTAAATGTAACTGTTGTTGTGAATGACATCTATAGCGTTGCAACTAAATGACATCAGAATTTTGTAAGAATATTCATTTTTATGTCATCACCCCGAAATGCGGCCAAACTTTGGCAGCCTATTCAGTGCACACAAGTATTTCTGTGACCATGACTGCGTTAACCGAAAACGATGTTCCTGGCGTCAAACTACTATATTCCTCATTAGAACATTTTAATGAACAACTGAGATGATGGCTGAATTGCCAAGGGTTGAAATCAAGTGGTAAAAAAAGTGAACTGATAGCAAGGGGAATATTTTCCTGGTCGAAATATGCATAAAATAAGTCACGTTTTGATGATCAGCATACAATTTTTTAGCCAGACAAGGTGGCGTGAGTTGCACATTCTGTGTTGTGACAAACCCAACACACGCCTGACAGAACGATGTAGTTTCTCACTTCAACGATTTTTTGTCAGTACCAATCAAATTGCAGGAACGTCAGATAGTGACAGCCATCAAAGAGTAACCTTTCAGGGTAGAGTTTATTTGTTCGTTGACGTAATGTGTATGATAAGGTGCTGGCAAATTTCCACCCAATGTTTATTATCTTGTTGAAAACTGTCTGCTTTTGTCGGTAATGCTAACACAGCTTTGACCATCAAAATGAATATTCATTGAAACTCATTGCAAGAAGACATGTACTTTGCGAATTCACAGTACTGTTCTTGCCGACGAGCCATACACTATTCTGTCAGGCGTTAGTGGGGTATGATGCCGTTTGGCCGGCGAGGGCGCCACTCACACCTACATGTCAGGCTAACATTTCTCTGTGTGTGCTTCTATTGAAGATGTGCTTCTATTAAATGCAGTATTAATAATTTTCATATTCACTTCAATGGAAATTTGTCTTTAACATAATGCCATCTCCATCCATGGTGCTGTGCACATGTGTTGTCATTTGACAGGCAAGATAAAAATGGCTTTACTAAACACTAAGATTAGTGGTTAAGCAGGCTGTGCTAGTAAAATCTGTGTAATGGCACGGAGGTGCGCGAAATGATCACACTCCTCACACAACATGCCTTGTATATATGCAGTATGAGCAAACCTCATCTATTTTCCTTCCTTGCTAAATTATGTTTTCTTTTTCTTTCTTTTTTTGCAACAGACAAAGCATTCAATTGAAAAAGTACTAGACTGGGAAAATAGTCATTTATATCATAAATTAGGACTTCATTGGTTGTTGTGTAAACAGAGATGTGATTCCAGTAATATGATGGAATATGTAAGTATCAAAACTCATCTGTATTGTCACATATTACAAACATGTTGTAAATAATAACTGAAACTGAGCACAACAAACCTTTGTTCAGAGCTAATACTCTCCAAGCAATGTTTGTACAGTTATAGACATTGACCATTAAAATGAACAGCAACACTGGACTCATGAACATTTATAATTCAGTTTTGTTTAAAAGAGATTTTTCGGACACAAGTTTATACTTGTAGTAAACCTGTCACACTTACACTTGTACATGTATAGGAATATATATATATAACCGTTGCAGCTGTGCAACAACATATATCAACACTGTTGCAATACTTGTTTTATTTTGGATTTGTATGCGATTGATTAATATGTGCGTGCGTGCGTCTGTGCGTGCGTCCGGACCTGTATCTTAGAAACGCCTGGACTAATTACAATCAAACTTCACACATACATCATACATCATACATGATATTATACATATGCACGTCAATTTGTTTCACGATCTGATTCAAGATGGTCGAATGGCGGCCATTTTTGTGCTAAAAATCATCAAAATCAAGCATTTCTCGGCTATTTACAGATGGATTTTGTTCAAACTTGGTATATATATATATATATTAGACATTATAGGACCTTGATGCACATCATTTTGTTTTACGATCTGATTCAAGATGGCCGAATGGCGGCCATTTTTGTGCTAAAAAATCCAAAAAATCAACCATTTCTCGGCTGTTTACAGATGGATTTTGTTCAAACTTGGTATATACATTAGACATTATGGGACCTTGATGCAAATAATTTTGTTTTTCAGATAAGATTCAGTGTTTTCTCCAGCTTTGTATTTATGAGGGGGATTGTCGCCCCTTCAGATCAAAATAGAGGGGGATTTTCTGTAACAAGGGGGGAATTTCTAATAAGCATAAATTTTCTTAATAAAACATTGGCAGTAATTGTTCATTATTTTCTCCACTTGTTACCAATTGTTATGTTCTT